CCCATTAGGAAGGTGTTAACTGTTGCTAATGCATGATGAGCTACCTTGTAGGTGACAGCGCGCGTTTGTGCCTATACAGAGACTCGCGTGTTACTTACTTGAAGGTGTTTTTCTCTGTGGTTCACACCTGCGCATACTTTGCTTGCACTATTAGCTTCTATAGTCTAACCTTTCATCGCCACCTTTCTGAGCTGGCCGAGAGAATAATTTAGAAGTGTGGGCTCATTGTCACCGTTTCTTTGATATGCTAATCTGTGGCGTATTGATCACCACTGCTGTTGACTCTCTGGTAGCCTGCGCGGCCGCTCCGCTAAGTCAAAACAGCGCTGACATTGGTTCATGATGTGCTTTAATCAGGCTGCACTGGGGCCCTCTGAATCCCTACACATGCCAGACACACAGCCGCAGCGCCCAATTCCACGATAGGTCGGCTTGATCTGTTGGAGCGCGATAGATGTGGAAATGGCGAGTTGGACTGGTGCTCCTCAGGGTTGTTCTACTATAAACAAATTAGAAGCGAGATAACCACCGTATTCTTTGAGTATTAGTGAAATCTGTCGCTTCTGACAGTCAAACTATCAGCTACGGCTCTTATTCGAATGTACTCTTTGTTCATTCTTTTTACGTGTAGAGAGCTGACTATTATAGTTATACCTGGGATCCTAATGAAAAAAAAACGGGAGTTGTTTTAAACATTACTTGGTGAGGCTGAATTAAATGGCCTCCTAACCAGGCAGACGAAGAGGAACCGTCCACAACACAGGTGTCTTTGCACTAAATTCCAGGTGAAATTGGGTAAGTTTAGTGTTTGGGTTTAGGGTTAGGTTTATGGCTAGCGTTAGGGGAAGTTAGGGCTAAGGCTAGGGTTAGTGCTGACTATAGGGTGAGGTTAAGATTAGTACTAGTATTAGGATTAGGTCGAGGGAATATTTACCCTATGGCAGAGTATTTCTATTTGCGTGGCCATATAAGTCATCCTCACCCATTAATTTAACTCCGCAAT